ACAGGGGAGAAACTGGGTCACGGAGCACATGGGGAGGGAAAACACAAAGACAGTCCAGGGGCGTGACAGTATGAAGGGCTAAGCCATTTGGCATAATATTTTAAAACAATGTCAACAAATTATCATTTAAAATAATTAAGACAAAAATGGAAATCTGATCATTTACAAGGCAAGCTTATATATATATATATATATTATTTATTTATTTATTTTTTTTTTTTGGGGGGGGGCATGTAATATCAGCATTAGGGATTATATGGACCACTATGGCATTTTAAACAATTTACATATCATAGTTAAATTTAAAAAATTTTTTCTGATACTGTTTTTGTGTTATGTGTGCTATCTTTGAATGTCAATGGTCTATTGCCTAATATTTATCTTGAGATAAATGGAAACTGTGACAGATTCCTGTGACAGATGTGTTTTATATGCACCGGTGTTTTGTTATATATATTGTTATATTTTATTATATGTACCCCCTCTTTGAGTGTCTCTAATCGGGCTCGCTTCACAGCACTGAAACGGCACTTGTAGACCTCTCAAAGATCTCCTCATGACCACTGACTCTGGTTCCATCAGTATCCTAATTCTCTTAGACCTCTGCTCTGCTTTTGACAACATCTCTTATAGAATTCTCATCTCAGATCTTTCTGCTCTTGCCATTTTTGGAACTGCTCTCGCCTGGTTAATTTAGTATCTGTCTGACATCAACATTATATCTCTATCCGTCAGTCTAAGTCCACTACTACCTCTTTCACTCATGGTGTTCCTCAGGGTTCTGTGCTTGGTTCTTTACTTTTCATCACTTATACGCTTCCATTAGGTCACATAATTAATTGACATGGTTTTATCTTTCATTGCTATGCTGATGACACTCAACCAGTGTTGGGTAAGTTATTCTAAAAAAGTAATTAATTATTAGTTACTAATTACATCTTCAACAGTGTAAGTTTCAACTAATTACTTTCTAAATCCTATATCAACCTCGACAAGTTAATTTATTCTTTCAAATAAATAATAGATAACTACATAAATTATTCTGGTCACACTTTAGATTAGAGTACAATTCTTACTATTAACTAACTATTAACAATGACTTTTGCCTCAATATACTCCTAATTACTGCTTATTAATACTTAGTAAAGTAGTTGTTAAGTTTAAGAACTGGGTAGGATTAAGGATTTAGAATAAGGTCTTGCAGAATAAGACATTAATATGTGTTTTTTTAAAGTAATAATAAACAGCCAATATCCCAGTAACCAACTAGTTAATAGTGAGAATTGGACACTAAAGTGTTACCAATATTCTTATTAACTCACCAAAGTATTTAAAGTGAGAAGAGTACATAAAAAGCATGCATTTTAAGGTTAGACTTTAAATGTTAAATCCCCTACTTTATACTTTTTCAAGGGAGAAGTAATTAAATTACAGTAACTAATTACTTCGTAACTAATTACACGAAACACTGCACCAAACCTTACATCTATTCCCAATGTACTTGGCATACTTTTTGAATATTCTCTCTCCTTCCCTCTCATTACCTAATTTAATAAGTCTGCTTTTTACCTACTGTTATTGCTCATCTACATCCCTCCCTAAATATCAATAATGATGAGATTCTAGTTCATGCTTTTATCACCTCCTGACCCAATTGTTGTAATTCTGTCTTCTATGATTTGCCCATCAAGCCAATTAATAAGCTTCAATGTATCTAGAATTCTGTATCCCAGGTCCTAACCTTTACTAAGAAATCTTACACATGGTCTTGTCCCTCAGTAAATTTCAGATCTCATTCATCCCTACACCCAAGTCTGCACATTAAGGTCTCCTGATACTGGTTTACTACTGATACCATGGTACAAGTTTTGGTGAGAATCTTTATTGTATAAAGCGCTATATAAATAAAGGTAACTTGACAGCCAGGTCAATCAAGTTATGGATGGAGGGCCACCAGATCAAGACCCTGTCATGGCCAGCCCAATCTCCAGACCTGAATTTGAAAACCTCTGGAATGTGATCAAGAGAAAGATGGATGGTCACAAGCCACCACATCAAACAGAGCTGCTTGAATTTTTGTGTCAGGAGTGGCATAAATTCATCCAACAGCAATGTGAAAGACTGGTAGAGAGCATCCCAAGCTGCATGAAAGCTGTGATTGAAAATCAGGGTTATTCCACCAAATACTGATTTAAGTTCAATAAGTTAGATAACTTAAAACATTAGTATTGTGTTGTTTAAAAATGAATGTGGACTTGTTTTCTTTGCATTATATGAGGTCTGAAAAAACTGCATCTTTTTAGTTATTTTGACCAGTTGTCTTTTTTTTGCTAATAAATGTTCTAAATGACTATATGTTTATTTGGAATTTGGGAGAAATGGTGTCAGTAGTTTAAAGAATAAAATATAAATGTTCATTTTACTAAAACATACTTACCATATTTTAATACATTTATTTCATACTAAGTATACTTCAAATCCTGACATATTTATAGATGTATCACTTAAGACTTATTGATATAAAATTATAATTAAACTTTATTTGTTTTTTTTTATTGCACAATGCACATTTAATATTATGCCTAAAATGTGTTTTAATATCACTATTAATAAGGATTGTATGATCTCTGTATAGTATGCAATATAAAATGCAAGATATTTAAAGTGTACCTGAAGTATACTTGCAATAGTTCCACTTTAGCTCAATCAGTATACTTCAAATCCTGACATATTTATAGATGTATCACTTAAGACTTATTGATATAAAATTATAATTAAACTTTATTTGTTTTTTTTTATTGCACAATGCACATTTAATATTATGCCTAAAATGTGTGTGTTTTAAACTATTAATAAGGATTGTATGATCTCTGTATAGTATGCAATATAAAATGCAAGATATTTAAAGTGTACCTGAAGTATACTTGCAATAGTTCCACTTTAGCTCAATCAAATATACTCAAGTATATCTTTAGTTAGAACTCAGCACTACTTCCGCACAATTAAAGTGCTTTAAGCACAAAATTAGTTGTTCCAATTTTGCAGGCATTAAGTATTAGTAGAGTTTAGTTTACCAAAAGTACAACTGCAATATTTCAAATACATTTAAGTATATTTTTTCACTAGGGTATAAATAGTAAAACTGGAGAAACTGAGAATTTTGCAAAGGTTTTTTCCAGAGGTGTATATACAAATAAACAAATACAGATGTTTATTAACATGTTATGTTCCTTTTGAAATCTGACATTTTGAAAAGCAAGATCATTTAAATAAAATAAACGGAATACAATAAAAAAAAAATGGTGATCATTTTTGGGAATAAGCATTAATTTTACCCCAAATTATAGAATCACCCAGCTGCTTCTGGACTCAGTGTGCACAAACAACTGAGAGTAGGTTGTGTATCGATGCTGCACAGTGTGGCTATTATGAGTTTTCAGTAGGGAGCTGAGAATGCCAGCATCTATGGAGCTTACCTTCTGTCACTACCATATCGCTCTGCATGCATGCTTACAGCCAAAATGATGATTGATTGGCCTTCTGTTCAAGAATGAATATCTGCCTGAGGCCAATCTTATGTAAAGCCTTTATTTGTTGCATAAGTCATGTGCTCATGAGGGTCTTGGGGCACATATTTTATTACATCATTACATGACCCAAAATATTTATTATATAATGACTGATTCAGGTGTTTTCTCACAACCAAATTACAAACCAAATAACACACAAAGAAACTACTCATTAGGGTACGCCTAAACTTCAACACATGGTCCTTTTGGTCATTGTGGGGTAGACTGTGATCAGACTCATGATTTTCACCTGTGGAATGATAAAATAAGAGGAAAGAATCCCATAGACTTTCACTGAAGGTGTAGGTGTAGTCCCACTTAAGTGCATCAAAAAAGCACTCTACAGTAACTGCATTTGAAATAAATGTAAACTTATATTTTTATTTAATTGCAAATAACACAAAAGTGCCCAAAAACATTGTATTCAGTTCACACCTAAATTATACTATTTCCTTACTTATTTTTCACTTCACATTTTGCAGTAGGCATTCTTAATTTTGCATTCTTTTATTGGGTGCTCTACAACCAGTACAGCCCTGTTCTGCCATGATGAATGGAAAGACCAAGGACTGAAAGCATCACCCTCAAGAAGACAATTTCAAATAATCATCCATAGTCTTTTGTGCTGCCTCATGTTAGGAAACAATCTTGAAATGTAGGTCACCATGTCCTGTCTCATGCACATGACTCAGAATACATACTAGACAGCGCTTTTTACACTAAAACTTCATTTAAGGTTTGTTTGTTTTTGTCTCAAAAGTGTTACATTCACATTATATTCATCAATATTCCTATATCACAGTAAATACATGTATAAACTCTGCATTACTCACCTTCAGCGGTGGCACTAGAAGGGGCTTGTTTTCTTTGTCCAGGGAGATGTAGGTGAAGAAGGCTGTGACAGCCCTATATTTTCCCTTCTCAGCCTCCACCAGTGGGTCAGCGTCAACGAAAACCTCAATCTCTATTGACTTATTACTGGTGAAGGTCATTCGGCCGGAAACAGTAATGACACAGCCTGCAGGGACACATCATGTCAGGTATTACATCTACTGATATTACATGATGCCGCATTCATTGTAAGACAAATGTGTCCACAGAATTAAACAGCCTGCTGATATCGAGCTTTTCTGGTGGGACACTAAGTGTTACAGTAAGCAGGAAAGTTTATGTACTATGTATACACTAATCTAATAAATATACAATAACAACACAGTTACAGATTTAATGTGGCAACCTTATTATTATGATTAATTTATGAGTACATAAACAGTGGGTTCTAACCACAATTCAATGTGGAGACTCAACTAAAAATAAGCTATTTGTAAAAACATTGTCTGTTATTTTTTTTCCCCCGGCTATTATTAATTTATTTTTTAGTGGTCTGACGTGTCATCTGTCATCTAAGGAATCAAATAAAATAGCTGTAGTCACAAGGATTTCAGAGACCTGTGCCTAATGTGATGCCTGCCCTTGTTTAAAGGGGTCATATGATGTTGCTAAAAAGAACCTTATTTTGTGTATTTGGTGTAATTCAATGTGTTTATGCGGTTTAAGGTTAAAAAAACACATTATTTTCCACATACTGTACATTATTGTTTCTCCTCTATGCCCCGCCTTTCTGAAATGCATTGATTTTTACAAAGCTCATCGTTCTGAAAAGCGAGGTGTACACTGATTTTCCAGCTAGTGCATTGTGATTGGCCGAATTCCTCAAGCATGTGACGGAAATGTTACGCCCCTACCATACTGTATTTCCGTATGTCCCGGCGCGACGAGACAAAAACATTAAAACCCATTATAAACGAGGCATTTGTTGCATCCAGTGGGGACATAATTACGGATTATAATGACTTATACTGTCTTTTTACGCGTTGCGTTGCGTATAAACATAAACATAAAACCATGTCTGCATTTGTGATCGGAAAAATGA